GATTTTTTGCTTTGAGTAAGAGAGCGGCGGCAACAAAGTCCAGGAACAAGGAACTCTGCTGACATGTTCTGGAAGTGTCAGTGAAAAATGAAAACCTCGCAGGTACATCCTGTTCTGTATTCACTGAATGCAGCGTACAAACGGAGGCATGCTGATTTGGAAATGTGACACAACATTGCTGGCATTTTGAAGGACTGATGCAGGTCAAAGCTGGAAAATGGGGCAGCAGTATCCTGTTGGGTTAATGCATGTCAGATCATAGTGAATTTACCCAAACATCCTCTTTGACTTCAGTCTAAAGATACTAGATTTCCTTGATTAAAAGTCACAGTCACATTATTGGCTCTTATTACCTTCCCTTCTCATGAACATTGTTTCTGTTTCAGCCCTCCAAACTCTGTGAAAATAGTGCTCCAGGAAAAAAATCACACATCTCACTCGAAACTATTCTCTGGAATCATATATACAGTATATTACAGTGACTTTAGGTTGTCCTTAAAGTGCCCTTAATGCCATTCATTAAGCTTTTAAAGTCTCCACTTTATGTTTTATGTAAGTTTGGACAGACATTAGCTTTAAGCGGCAGTTTCACTGTTTGGCAGGAGGAGATAGCAGTAGTAATTCAAGTTTCCGCAATAGATTTTAATGGTTGGGAGTGTGAAACATCAGGAAAGAGTGCATAAAACTTCCCTGAGACCAATTGGGCATCTCTAAATGTCACCAGTCTTTCATTTTGAGGGCCTAAACCTTGAGCTATTCATTGCGATATAATTAGTTGAGTCAGTTGATGAAAAAAGAAGTGCACACAGAGACTTTGGCAGTCCTCTCATTCAGTCCCTTGTTTCCTCGACTGGACAAAATAAAACTCTATAATGACCATGTTAGGCCTTTATTTATCCAGTGTGACATTTTGTCTAAACAGTTTAGAGAAAAGCTGGATTACTTTCTTAGTTCTAAGCTTCCTTGTAAGTTTTTCTTCCGATGGCTAAAGCTCTTTCTTCCTTGTGTTTAGAAAATCCCCTCTGGACTAAACTGTGTGTGCCTGGAGAGAGGGCATTAACATTTATATAGAAACATGAGGCCGTTGTTTGACGGACGATAAATGGGGTATTTTCCTAACACTGTTTTCGATGGAACAATAGAGACCAAACTCTGCAAAACATTGTCCATTGGCACACAGTAACCCAGGCTAAGAGCTACATACATCAACACAATTGCCTTTATTAGTCTGCCTCTTAGAATTCATTGTCAGGGTTGTTTGTATGTGTGGGTTGGCTGGAGGGGAGTTGGTGGACCAAGGGGGGTGTGGTGATGGTGGTGGAGGGAGTGGAAGTATATGTCAAGCCTGCTTAAGAGGCTCAGAGTCGACAGCAGCGGCAATTTCAAAGTCACACGTGATAAATACAATATGAGAGGAGTGTGAGCGGGAACAAAACACAAAATCCCACAGCAGGGACGATGTAATAAATCATAAATAAATCCGCCAGCTGACCACAAGGGAGCACTAATAATCCAACCCGACATGCCCCCTCTCTCTCTCTCTCACTGTTGTTCTGTATCCCTGCATGCTTTCTCTCCTTTCTCTGTTGCCATCTCTCACTCCCTTCTGTTTCTGCCTTTGTCATCTTGGCTCCACACACACACACACACACACACACACACACACACACACACACACACACACACACACACACACACACACACACACACACACACACACACACACACACACACACAGGACCCGCATATACACATACTGCACCCGGCCCCGTATTAATCAGCTCAGGGGCAGCTGTGTATTTAAACAATGCTACCCTGAGAAGTTTGAGAGTTTGAACAAGTGTGTGTGTGTGTGTGTGTGTGTGTGTGTGTGTGTGTATGTGTCAGCAGGGGACAAAGCATCAGTAAAAGCAGTGATTCTGACCTCAGTGTCATTTGGCTTGTGGAGTTCAGTAGAGCAGTCTTAGTTGTTTGGGATTTAATGGGATTTTATGATAGATACATTAACTACATGTAAATACTGCACATTACACCAATGTGTTCACGTGAAAGTAGAGACTTTTTTTCACTCAGTCGCTCCTCTGACCACACAGTTGAAAAAGCGAAAGCACATACATGTCATCGACAACACTGCTTTTTCTTCGATTGTTGTGATTCTTGGCCTTCACCTCTCCTTGTTTCCTGTTTCCTTGTTAAGTGGCCAAAATATCTAGTTCTAGTTTTGAAAATCTCCATCTTTTCTTTTCATTACACATACAATATATTTTTTGAGTTGAGAGGATCATTGTTAAATTAATTATTACAAACGAATCTTAATTCTTATTCTCCAGCCCAAGAAAGGCTCACCTTGGTTTTAATCCAAACATGTCAACCACCTTACTGCAGAGTTTATATTTTATTTGTGTAATGTATTGCATGTTTACATCATTGGCTGATATGTTTTCAGTATTATGTTAACCTTTAAACTAGAGTTTTTATAATGTGCTATTGACTAGGGCTGTAAAGTCCAAGTCAACTTATTGGTCGATATGCGCTGAGTCGACCAAAATTCTGATTGGTAGACTTGATTTTTTTTCACGTCAATTTACAGTCCGTGGTTAATTTCATCAGGAGGAATGTACCAAGTGCTAATGGAGGTGTTTTCAAAGCACCCCCCTTGATTTCACCATTTTGGATTTGCCCAACCCACTGGAGACCGGCTGGAGCCAGGAAGATTGAAGAGCGTCCACGTTAATCAACATCCAGTGGTTTGCTGAATATTTATTTTTAATTGCCTTCTTGTGCTGATATCAGTATATTTTACGCCGCCAAGCCGCGCTCTGCCGAGCCCCGCCGAGCCGCATTGTCCCCCTGCCGCAGAAGACTTTGCTATCATAGTCACATTTTTAGTCGAAAATTTCAGGGTTTTAGTCGACCAAGAATTCCTTTGGTTGATTACAGCCCTACGATTTGCCAAGCTGTAGCTTTGCGAATAAAAATCTTCTAAATGATAAATTTCCTAAAGCTTTTCTGAATGGTTAAGATGGAATTGGTTGCTTAAGTGTGGTGCAGTCAAGGAACTGAAACAGTGATATTTATATAAGGCATCAGTTTGATGCAATGCAGACATGGTTTAAAACCAAATAAGAGCTGCCTCCGATCCAATGTAATATTTACTCATATCCAAGATAGATTTAACACCTGAATATGAAAACAGTTACTCAGCTGTTCATTTCTGTTTGCCTTCTAACATGCACCTGATAGTCAGTGTTTGGAGTCCAGGTCCATCTGTCAAACATCTCTACAACAGAGACATCTGCTCAATGTGGGCTATTTGACTTGATGGATCGTGTTTATTCACACACTCTCAGTAAAGAACTTGACTGAAACTGCTGGCTGCTGTTTACTTTCCTGCCGCTCTGCTGTTTGTCTTTAAACACTACATGTCATGTAGCTGGTGTTCATCTGCAGAATGTGTCCATTGGGAGTTTCTTGGTCTGGAGTAAATACATGATGTACGCTGTTGCTGCATCTGGAGTGAGAAAATAAAAAGTGTAGAGGTATGATTTGGTACATTGTATTTGCTTTTTTTGTGTGTGTATGCCTTACAAAGGATATCACACTGCTTGAAGAAATAAGGAAAGTCTACTTGTGTTTTGCTGCGTGGGAAGAGCATGTTATTGTTTCCTCTCTGTCCTGCTTTGACCCAAGTTTTGACCCACTTGAGCGCCGTATCGCACTACAGTATCTGATCTTTTCTCCACACCGGGGGTCTCTTTGTCAATTGCTGTTCTTCCCAACATTTTATTGAACTAAACTCCGGGCAAGTGAGGAGGATTCCACAGATAAGCTATCAGGCCCTGGCATCACACAGAGAAACCATCAAGCCATGAAATATGTGTCTGGCTCTGAGTCAGGGTGGCAGCGCTGCATGAGGAGTGGGGACTAGTGACACTCAAAGAGACGCACACACATCAACACATGAACACTAAGCATGCAAATCAAAAGCATATGCAAATGCGAAGGCTGTTGAAGAATACTGTTCACCTGTTTTTTTTTTAGTTTTGTTGCTATTTTGTGGATGTTTAATAGATAAAAGATCAAAGATGGTAAGATTCACAAACTATTTCGAGTCGCAGCCAAATACCTGAACAAGCAGTGGAAGAATTCAAGAAACACTTCCCTATTCATGGTTCACAATAGCATTATCACAGCATATCAGTTCTGCAGTGATCTAAAGATCGTATGCCAATCATTTGATATTCATCATCATTCAATCATTTGGTAGCAGGACTACATACAGTATTCATATTGTGTCCCAGATTTGCTGAATGTTTGTTCCATAGAGGTTGAATACAACCAACCTTTGTGACCTTCAAGCTAACTTGGTGACTGTTGATCTTATTAAGTTTGTCTGTCTTTCCATAAAAGGCTCAAAGGTCCGTACGTATGTGTCCATATTTTCTTTTTTTTTAAAGATCTATTGGCTCCATAACCAGCACACCAATGTAGGGCTGGGCGATATGGCCTCAAATCAATATCATGATGAGTACTCCACAACTTTTGAGCTGTCCTCCGTCTCCTCACCTGTCTTTGCTTCTTTGTTAACCCTTTTAAGCCTGTAATATTAACAGTCCGCCTGGTCATTATTCTCTTTTTTTAGCTGTAAATGTGTCAAAAAGTGTCTTTTGTGTGAAATCTTTTGCCCCTTTTCTCAAGATAAGTTAAACTTTCAAAATCTCTCAAGTATTTTACATTTTTAACATGTTATATATAGTTAAACTGTGTGAAATAACAACAAAAATAAAAAACGGAACTGATTTTTTAGGAAGTTTTGTATTTGTTAACACTGAAGATGTACAGGTCCAAAGATTCTGAGATGACAAAAACTTTTGAACTATAATACAACAACTCAAGCAGTTTTGTTTTCCTGGAACCTTCTTTTCACCTGTTACTGCTTGAAAAAGTCTACTAATAACCAGGCGTTTTTTAGGAATGAAACTCCCTGTAGCAATTCCTATCTAATTGAAGGCAGAGTACAACTCTACACTCTTCACACTTCCAGGGAGTGCAGTGTTTTCTCCCCTGGCTGTCTCTCTGCCTTTTCTCCATTGACTGCCCTCTGCTGGTGGGGCAGGAAAGCAGCCTTGAGTGGGGGGTGGGGGGGGCTTGGGTGGTGGATTGAGTGGCACACCAAGCAGCTCGGCACACAGCTTCTCCTGGAAAGCCTGGTGTGTCATGAGCTTCCTCTTCTGTGTCACACTGATTTCTTTGTGGAGGATATAGCTGTTTGTTGCAGCTGTATCCACAAGGTGTTGAAACACAGTCATGGGCCATCTTCTGGTCTTCCTGTGGACAGAGTTGGTGCCCAACATCTGGTCAGAAGTGTTCACCCCTCCCATGTACTTGTTGGATGAGGGTCAGGGTCTGCCTCTGTCTTCCAGGCCTTCTGCAGTTGTGGTGAATGACATGCAGGAGCATCACCAGCAGCATCAGGACCACCACTGCTGCTGCTGTGCTGCCTGCGTCGGCCACAGACCAGACTTCGTCCCCGCCTTGTTCTTTTTGATGGCCCCTCATCAGAAGAATCTCTAAAAATGTATTGAGGAGATAATCATAAATAAAAAGTACTTATGTATAAAATATTATGAATTCAAATAATGATATCATTATATTAGAACTAGATTTGGGAGTATGCATACTATTTACTTACTGTGTTTGGGATGGAGACACACCCCCTGCCTCCTCCTGCATCTCCATCTTCTCTTCCTCCTCCACAAATTGAGCTGGAAGTCTCCTCTTTCTTGCAGATCTCCTCAACATTTCTGCCTCCACTATTACAATCAATACTAAAGGAACTAGCTAAAAACGGTCGTACTAAGGCAAGAACACGGCACGAAACACGGCAAAACGACACTCAAAACTTATAAAATGAACTCTAACACTATGATAAACAACAATAAATATAATATATACAAAGATTAATATAATATATACAAAGGTAAACAGCTAAATTACCTCTAAAACGCCGCTAAAACTCCGTTAAAACTCCGATGAATCTCCCAGATCTGCACTCTCTCTGCTCCAAAGTCTCCCTCACGTCATGTGTTTTGATCCGCGAATCAGCACAAGGCCGCTGTCACTACCGTAATGTATCATATATCAGCGCAAAGCTTAGAGTCTCAGCTTTCAGAATCCGTTGGAATTATGTTGATAGCGCAAATGGTTCAAGAATTACGGTACTAAAAGTGCAGCATGTCATTTTCTGTCGCCGACGACAGAGCCGTCGTAAAAGGGTTAAGGACTGGATGGGGTGGAGTCACGTCTCTGACGTAGGACAGTGTCTTGAAGGAACATGAGACCATAGCCTACCTACACACATCCAAAACCAACTTTTATTTATATATTTATTTTTTTGACACCGCATTTACCAATATGGGCAAAATGATGTCAGTTATTGTCATAAATTTTGGTATTGGTAAATTTTCAGTTTATCGTTCAGCCCTAGCCAGTGTAATGTCAACATAGTAAAAAGTACTATGTCTAGTTCAACAAAGAGAAATACAAACCCCCTTTTGACTAATGCTTGAACTAAAAGAAGAAACATGACCCGACTATAAGAGAGTGATTGGTTTGGTCTCTTTTTATTCAAAATTTGAACCTTTACCTGAACTGTGGAGAAAAATTCACATTTGAACTATAATGGGATGTTAAAACTCATAATAATACAGTAGACCAGCTCATCAGCAAATTGTACTCTCATCGTTACCTGACCAATCCATGCACACTTGACCTCGGTAAACTAAAACAGTCATGTTTTTATACAAAAATGGAGTACACAGTCAACCAAAACTGCGCTAAAGGACAATCCAGTGTGTAAGTATTTTTGGTTGTAAGATGAGATAAGATATAAATTATTTGTCCTACAGGGGGAAATTCAAAGATTACAGCAGCACAAATACAAATGCAAAAGAGACATTAAAGGATAAAGAAAGTTAGTGTAAAAAAAATAAAAATAGATACATGAGTCTTGAGTCATCAGTCTTGTACACAGTAGATGTTAAATGAGAGACAAAAAAGAGATCTGTTTGTTCACTTTGTACAAAACACCTTTCTTGCTTGCTGACAACATTAAATTAGTTGGTCCACTTAATGGCCTGCCACTCATGTGAAGCAGCACCGGTGAGGTGGGGCACTATTGTCAAACGGTGCACTGGCAAGTATGACTTCCTTTTGTCCGGCAAACCTCTTTCCAGAGACCCTTTAAAAAGCCGTCACTGATAAGATTGCATCATCCAAATTTATGCAAAATTGTTCATGTCACGTTCAATATTCGTTTGGAGTTCACTTTTGGAAGAACTGGCAGCCCTTACTTGTAGCTTTCAAAGAATTCATCCAAGTCTTTAGGGTTGAATTAAACTTTGGCTTTAGTAACAAACAGGTTTGTTTTTCAGGCAGTGGCGGTTCAAGTTCAAACAAATAGATGTCCTGTATCCTGTAGCAAGGTGGGATGTACTTCTGGAGCCTCTGGGTTTGTCCGCTGATGAGAGTAAATAAATAATTCAACACCATTAATGTTAATAATGTATTTATTTTGTTCTTGTAATCACTTTTTATGCCCTTAATGAATAGCTCTTGGCCCGCTGCCAGGCTATAGGTCAGTCAACCAGAAAAACACCTCGTCCTCCAGATGGCCAATCTGCCCCCTTTTAAACACACATATGCATCAAAACACATTAAGAGCTAAATATAAATGTACCAAGAGGTGCAATAACACAAGTCGGACTGACTACAAGCACACAAATGATATAACTACATTTTGTAACAACAAATCTATTTTTGTCAGAGCTGTAAGGACCAACCACTGTCAACATCTGCCAAATTTTGAGGTTAAAGAGGGAAATTTAATCACAGTACTTCATCATTCTTTAAGGAATGGCTTTGGCTGTATGTTTTTAGATATTTTTTTTATTTTTCATACAGAAATAGATAAATTTAGTCCTACACATTTGGTTACTAAGTGGTACTTTAACATCTTTAGAGACTTCCATCCTGCTCTACACATCCTAACATGTGATTAGAGGTCTAGATTTGTTTTCACTTGTGAAGTATAAACAGAAATGCATCACCATCCATGTTTACAGGCCTTATTAGTTGGAGTTCACTCAATCAGTGTTGACGTCCACAGTCAAATTATATTCATGCAAAGCTGGTATTTTCAGTGATGAGTCATAGATACTCTCTTGTGTTGCTTCCAGTGTTATAAAACTGCCAAATCATTCCTCCTTGAAATTTTACCTCACTTCTCTCTGACACAGCTTTTAAAGATTTAAGGTCTTGTGAAAAATGCCTTCATCTTTGGAGAATTCGACTCCCAGCGCCTATTTTCTGAGCACATTTGGTCCTGACAAGTATAGAAAAACAATCCTACACACACCGCACACACTCTTCCCTTCGCTCCATCAGCAGCCCCTCCTTTTTATCTGCCTCTCTTCTTTCCTTTGCAGGACATGTGTGAAAATGTTGAAAGCAGCCCCGCTAGGCCTTTTGGATTGAGGAAAAACAAAAAGCATAATTCAGGAGAAAGTCCCCCAACTCCAGGCTCTTGGACCTCACTAAGACTTTTTTTTTTTTTTCTGGTAATTTGGATATATTTGAAAGTGCAGGCGCACAGCAGTGTGGCCACAAAAATGAGGAAGGGAAAAAAGAGAGGCAGATGGAGAAAGACAAGGTGCAAAGAAATGCAGGCATGAAGATGGAGAAAGAGAAAAAACAGACACAGACACTGGTAGATTATGATCTGATGGGTTTTAGCATGTCGGTCTCTGATGGGAAATACAATTTTTTTATGACCTCTAATGATAAATAAAAATCTAAAGTAGGGCTGTGTTTTTTTCTTTTTCTGTCTTTGTCGTAAACTGTAATGTAAGTCTTATTTTTCAGGTCAGATCAGAAGGTAAAATACAAAAAAATACTCCTAATTTTTGCACCAACAAGAAAATAAAAGTGATGGATGAACAATGACACCAGAAAATGTTAAAATAGTTAAGCCCTTTTAGGGGATCAAATTTTGAAGTAAGAACAGCTGGAGTCAGCACACATTATAAAGTCAGTTTTCTGCACACTGGTTCTTTTCTTTCTTTCTTTCTTTCTCTCTTTTTTCTTTCTTCTTTCTTTTTCCTTTTTTCCTTATCTTTCTTTTCTTTCTCTCTTTCCTTCTTTTTCTTTCTTTCTTTCTCTCTTTTTTCTTCAGCTTTCTTTTCTTTTTTCTCTTTCTCTCTTTTTTCTTTCTTCTTTCTCTTTCTCTCTTTTTTCTTTCTTTCTTTTTCCTTCTTTCTTTTTTCTGTCTTTCTTCTTTCTTTCTCTTTTTTTTCTTTTTTTTCTTTATTTCTTTTACTTTCTTTTTTCTTTCTGTTTTCTTTCTTTCTTTCTTTTCTCTTTCTGTCTTTTTTCTTTAATCTTTCTTTTCTTTTTTCTTCCTTTTCTTTCTTTCTTTTCTTTTTTCTTTCCTTTTTTCTTTCTTTCTTTCTCTCTCTCTCTCTTTCTTTCTCTCTTTCCTTATTTCTCTCTTTGTCTTTCTTTCTTTCTCTCTTCTTTCTTTCTTCCTTTTTTTTCTTTCTTTCTTTCTTCTCTCTCTCTCTCTCTCTCTCTCTCTCTGTTTCTTTTTTTTTTTTTTTTTTTTTGCGGTGTCACTGTACACAGAGCTCATTACAGCTTTGGAGTTTCACCCCACCCCAATTCACCCTTGAATATTAAAGATTTTCCCTTGAGCCAAACCATAAATACAGGTCCTCTTATTAAAATAAGCAGACCATTGAATTTAGCATTTGAAACATGAATTTGCATTTTCTCAATGGACACAGGTTACAGAGGGAGATGCTAGCTGAGCCTCATTTTAGTTACAAAAGCACATTCAAGGTAAATATCTGTAACTCACCAACAACGAGAGAAGTGACAGCGGTTAGATACAGGGAAATTTCTCAAGTTCGTCTGACACCCTGTTGTTGCAGCCCTGAGGCACTACCCCGGCTGTGCACTGGTCAGTCTGTTTCTTGTCTAACAGACAGATTGCTTGTGTGATGTTATCATATTTGCAATTTTTTGAGTGTGGTAATTTGATTTTGCAGGGAACATGGCAGTGAAACTGGAATCATGCAGTGTTAAAGTGCCGCTTCAGGTTCTCGGTTTTGCAGACAGCCACAGTCTGGGTGCATATTAAGCATGTTAGTTTGGCATTTGTGTGGTGTAGTTAAATAAAACAGAAATGCTCAGTCCAGTCAGATTCAGACTGTCCATTGTCTTTAAGCTGGCTCTGCTGTTATCAGTTCTGGGCTGCTTCACATTATTTGTAGCCTACACCAGTTTATGGACTGCTTTTGCAGAGCTGGCTAGTCTTGAACCAGCGAGTGATGGAGGGAGGACTTAATCATTGCAATAGTTCAGGCATCCAGTAAGCCTCAAGAGTGAGGTGTGCCATGAGGTCAAAATACATGAGCCTAAGTGCATTTATTGTGTCATGTATTCCATATATTCTAGTTTATATAACTTCATCTTTGCAGAGGTTAGTCCTGGCCAGGAGATTGCTTCTGGCAGGCAGGACTTGACCCACAGGCTGTCCTTTGGGATGGCTGCTGTAGACCTGTATGTCTTCATAGAGGTCGAACAAGTACCATCTCTTCAGTTCATATGTTGTTTCGCCTCCTTTTCTCTTTTCACTCAAAACCCAAAAGTAAAAAAAAAATCACAGTCTCTGTAACATTTCTTCTTCTTTGCTTTGAGAACTTTGGAACTTTTACAGCCTCAGATTGATGACGTGCTGGTGA